TTCAAATGTATCTACTATTATCTCCTTTTCGAAACTGATATATTTCTCCTCATTGTTTGGAATACAATCTATTTTACCTTCTGTAGAACCTAGATTTTTAATAAATAAATGTGCATCATAACCTGCTAAATTATGAAATATCACTGGTATATGCTTCGGTATTTTGTAATTCAAATTACACTCGTTATGCGCTGCACCTCGATACTTACCTGTAAGATGGTCATGATCTAATACTTTATCACCATTTAACTCCTCCTCACAAATATGACAGTGGGTAGCCTTATTATAGTTTTTGTTATCCTTTACCATCATTTTAACCTTCTTGTTGTAATGATATTTTTCATATATATTTCTAACCGTTTTTTCTATTGATTCTACAAATTTTTGACTTATATCCTCATCCTCTGTCTTAGCTGTATATTTATATAATTTTGGTTTATATAGACTATCATCATAGCATTTTACCATATAACAATAACCAGATGGTTTATGCTTTTGATACTGTTGAGTATATGATTTTTTATCATTTGGTTGGCATGTATTGATACTCTCTGTTAAGCATTCAAAATCTGCATAAATGACAAAGGGTACTCGCATAGAGTGATTATAATTATTAAACGATATCGTTGATCCCTCTTTTGGTAACGTGATTTTAACCGCCTCGTGGTTCTTACAATACTCATAGTGTATGTCTAAAGCCTTTTTCGTTTTGAATGAGTTGATACATCGTTCGCAATAATACCTACAATGTTCATTTTTAGTTACTTGTGATGATATTAACCTGCTCATATTTTTTATCCAGCAATAGTGGTTAGTCTTATTATTTGTAATCATAAGTAGGTTAACTGTTTTCTTGCTATCTTCATTTTCAACCTCGCTTATTCTAATTGGTTTCGTTTCATTAATATATTTATACACGTTTACTCGATATCCTGGATTATTACACTCAAATTTAGTAATCTTATCCAGCTGAACAGGAAATTCAATACCATCCCAGTTGAATTTTTCTGCGTTTGATTTCATAGCTTTTGAAATCCTTTCTAAATCTCTCTTTGCTGGATATACTGCTGCTGTAACTGCCCATTTGAAACATTGATTATCCTTGTTTTCTGGGTTAACAATAGCCTTTTTCAATTTTAGCTTCTGTGGTAGTTCAATCCATGATTTTGCTGCTATAGGTTGGTATTTATCGATGTGAATATCTAAGTTAACAACCTTACTAAATATCCAACCTGACCCACTATTTTGGAAATTACTAACCTTTTCTAATATACTACCTGTCAATGTTTTATAAACATCTTCTATATTCGTAGCTTGTGTAATAATAACTATATTACTGTGAAAATATCCAAATGTGTATATAACCTCTTTTCGTTCCTCTTTATAATATTCACACTCTAAAAGCAGCTTAATCTTAATTGGTTTTTGTTGTTTGTTAATCGTTTCAATAACTGTGGGTTCATATTTTTTTATAAACGACTTAGGATCGATCTTTTTCTCACCTTTGATTCTGTAAGATGATAGAAAGCCCTTCATTGCTGACTCTTTCTTGTGTACAGCCTTTAGCTTATTTTGTTCAACCTCTGGCTTCTCGAGTCTATTATAAATATCGTTTACTTTTTTCCTTAATTCTTCCACACGTTCATTTACAGGCTTCTTGACCTCTGGTGGAATATAAGATATAAGCCAATCCGCGAATTCATTCAATCTCTTTTGTATAGTATCCTTCGTAGATACAACCTTTTTTCGATCTACACCATTCATAGATACTTTAATCGGTTTCATAATAGGTACATCGATCTCAGACACTGGTCGATCCATAATATTCTTAGTCGTCATATTATTATAATTCGTGTTCGATTTATATGATTTTAATTCTCCCATTTCTTTAATAATATATCAAATAGTTATTTCTTTAAGTCACTTCCATATACAATTATTTTTTTAGCCTAGCATAGGAAATAAGTTTTTAACCTAGCATAGGAAATAAGTTTTTACCCTAGCATAGGAAATAAGTTTTTACCCTAGCATAGGATACCTAGGACGTAAACCTAGGATGTCTTTAACCTAGCATTGGAATATAGTTTTTAACCTAGCATAGGAAACCTAGTTTTTAGCCTAGCATAGGAAACCTAGGATGTTGGGTAGTTAAAAGAACCACCCTCAATCGACTAATGTTACATAAATCCTGCTTCCGCTTGCATCCATTTTTGGATTCCATTTTTTTTATTATAACGAAATTATCATCTGGCTAGATCCTGCCGATGTGACAAAAATCCAAGTTCGAAATCCAAGTTCGAAATCCACGGCAAAAATGCGCCAGAACCGGCCATTCCCTACTACTTAGTTTGACTTAAAATATTGACTTAAATATTTATTAAAAACTTAATCATTGATGATGTTTGATGATGGTGGTGGTGGTTGTGATGGTGATGATGGTGATGATGATGATGGTGATGATGATGACATTGATGGTGGTGATGGTGATGATGATGATGATTATAGTTGATGATGGTAATGATGATGATGGTGATGATGATGGTGATGATAATGGTGATGATGATGGCGATGATGGTGATGATGATGATGGTGATGATGATGGTGATGATGATGATGATGATGACAGTGATTATGATGGTGATTATGATGATAATGATGGTGGTGGTGATGGTGATGACAGTGATGATAATGGTGATTATGATGATGATGGTGGAGGTGGTGGTGAAGGTAATGATGGCTATGATAGTTGATGATGATGATGATGATAAAAGTTTTAAGATTAATGGTTGATCACAGTAAGGATAACACTATAATTATGATAATATATCTTTAGAACTTTGGCAGAGTGTTCTGGAGGATAACCTGTCTCACACRGAACCCATTATCCAGGTATGTTGATGATATTAACAACAAAGGCATTCTACACTGGATTGGGTGATTGTATGATTCATTTGTATTTTACTTGGTAGGACAAAGCAGTAGAAGCCTTGAGTGCATTATGCAGCCAGTTTTACATGCAATGTGATGGCAGTGTTTGTACAACAATACAAGGTAGAGCAAGATGTACTTCATAATTTTCATCTATATTGTGTGAGTTGTGTACATGCAAGATAAAGATTTATAAGATGTTGATTATCCTTGACTTTTGTGCCTTTTTTTGCAGAAACCATCATAAATCATTATATCAGTGAATTGCACAG